CAACCACAATGTTCTTGACGAAAGGGAGGGCTTTGCGTTTTTCTCTGATATTGAGTATGAAAATCTTCCTGAATTTTATTCACATTGCAAGAAATCAGGGCATGATGTGCAACACTGCAAACATTTGCAGAAACCAATACTCTAACCAATCCAAAAAACTAAGGTGACTTATGTTTCTAAACCCTATGCTACTCAACAGGATGTACCTTTGAGGCCACACATCAATGATGCTGATCATGATTCTCATTCCAATAGAAACGATACGATAGAGGGTTGTCATGACTTGGATATCAACAAAGAGGCTGATTTGATTATGCCTCCTATAGAGAAGAATTTAGTCATTAAAAATCCGTTAAACTTCATCTCACAACCTTTGATGGAGTCAGAGTCTATACTAGCCACATTTGTGGAATCCCCCCAAGAAGATCATGTGACTTATACACCCGCTGCAGATGCGGTTTTCTTGAATAACTCCTGGGCTACTCTGGAAATAATTGGGGATAAACCAAATCTGAGTGAAGGTGTGTTTTCTTCGGCACTAAACAAACTTAAAAAGAAACAATCATCTAGGCAAAAAAAAACAATACTCAACAAGGTCTCAAGTAGGACTTAAACACCCGTACATCATGAAGTGCCTTTACTGGAATATATGTGGAGTTGCTAATGCTCCCTCAAGATTAGCACTTAAGAGACTCATTAAGCTTCATCATCCTAATTTCATCTTCATAGCAGAGCCCAAAATGGAATATGCTAAGTTCCCTTCCAACTGGTTTTATTGATTAGGTTTCAAAAAATTTGTTGTCAACAATAAAGTTCAGCCATCTTTATGGTGTTTTTGCTTAAAAGATTTTTCTCCTGTCATATTATCCTCCTCTGATCAATTTGTTGCCTTCACTTTTGTTATGGATAACCATTTTCTAGCTTGTGCTGCAGTGCATGTGTTGCGGTTAAAATTAAATATCAAGCTCTTAATTAACTTGAATCACAAATCTTTGAATATTCACCACCGAGCTTTGATTTATCCAAAAGAAAGGGTAAAGATTGAAGAAAACCATATATGCACTGTAAAAACAATGCACCAGATCTAAGGTTTGGGGGTTGGTTATAACTAGGGAAGGTGTTAGCATCCTAAGTATCTGCAATACTCTACAGGAACCTCTTGTTAGTATTTGTGTTATTTGTTATTTGCTAAAGGTGAGCCTAGGGGTTTATTTCTAAGTATGCTCACCAAGACATTGCATATCGTGCCTACATATCCTAACGAGAGTGGAATCAAAGCATTCGTAGTTCCCCTCAATGAGGGTGAGGAACTCTTGACTGTGGTCAAGGTTCCAGGGGGAAAAGGTAAGTATCCATGACGAGATACTTACATGGAGTGCAGCGACTCCAAACTTAAAGCTAAGATTGAAAGGGAAAATAATTAAGTGTCTATGGCAAGACGCTTACATGGAGTGTGGCGACTCCGATCCTAAGGCTAGAATGAAAGGAAGTAAGAGAGTAAGTGTCTATGGCAGGAACTTACATGGAGTACGGTGACTCCAATCCTAAGGCTAGGATAAAGGGTAAGGACCTAGAACTATGCTACGTGTGACATGGCAGTCAACGGGGAGGATCCTTTCCTTTGGAAATGATTAAAGGGAAAATTCTAAACTAAAGTTGTCATACAATAGTTTATACTAACATATACGCACCTATCCATACCCAATTCATCGAAGATACAATTGAATCAGGAACTTAAGGGAATATGACAAATTATAAAGGTATGCAATCATCCATATGCAATAGTATCATAGGCTATCGAAAAGCTAATTTCGAATTAACTCCAAAAAAATCAATCACAAACTTAAACCAACATCAATAACTTAATCATGAATTTTAATTAAAATTTAATCAACAATTTTAATCGAAAATTAATCACAAGTTATAAATCAACTAATCACAAATTATAAAAAAAACAATCATGTAAAAACTAATCACCAAATAATAAATAAAAATTGATAAAATCTAAATAAATAAATAAAGAAGAAAAAAAACGGTAAAAAAAATGTGGGCTGGGGCACCCAAGGCCCGTCCGAGTCTTCTGGCCCATGAGAGAGTTTCAGCATACTCCCCTCATTCTCTCCTCTCGTTCCATTCTCGTCAGCCTCATTCTCTCTTGTTCAAACTTCACCCTCTACTCCATAATCTCCTTTGAGCGCGACTTTCCTTTCCCTCAAACTCATCGTTTCTCTTGCCTGAAAAACAAAGAACAATGAAAATTCGAAGCTCCGCCGCACCCTGGCCTTAGGTCGGTGGTGGCGAAGAGAGTTTGCGATGCTACCTCTTCCGATTTATAACCAGAATAGAAAAAAAAATCCGGGTCGAGTGTGTCGAAATAGAATACTATGAAATCTTAACTGAATTCTACAAGTTTAAACATAGAAATTTCATATCTTTGAATATCAATGACTTACAACGATATTTTGAACCATAAATATCATAGCCTGGTCCTGACTTTAACAAGATATGGCAACAAAATTCAACCAAGCCATCTTCAAGGTCTTGTTCCAAGAATTCTATAAGTGGAGCCCATACAAAGTAAACATCCTATGACCACTTTAAATCAGGATTAACTGGTTATACCCATAAATGTTTGGTTGAGATAATCAACATCATCTACCCTTGAAATTAATGCGTCTGGTATTGGCTAAGGGGCCATAAAAATGAAGGCATATTCCTCCTTCATCTCCACAGGAATTCAACACAGCTTGCAGCGGACAAGAAGCACACACAAAGCCTCCACGACCTTTGACTCTTCTGCCACAACCTTAACTTCACAAATGAAACAAACAAAATCTAATAAACTGGTTAGTTATGCATGGATGACTGATCTAAGATGATATGCAAAAGATCAAAGAATCTAAGCGTAAACTTTGGGGTATAACAGTATGCATCCACTAATTTCACTAAAAGGAGAGATCTTTGGGATGATCTCACCCAACTCCTTTTTTCACACTTTATTCTGTGGTCTTTCGTGGGAGATTTTAATGCTATTATTGGTGCTCATGAACATCGTGGTAGATATTCTCTGGCCAGAATTCCGACGACAGAGTTTAAGAATTGGTCTGATAGTTATAGTCTTATTCACTTTCCCACTAGTAGAGCTATCTTCACTTGGTCTAACAAGTGTGTATCTCCTTACTCTGTTGAGAGGCATCTTGATAGGTGTATTAGAAATCTGCTTTGGTTTGATGTCTGCAATCAAATATATGTTTCTACTCTCATCAGATCTAGATATGATCATTTTCCGCTGCTGTTCGAATTTATCATTAACCCGACATGTGTGGTTTCTCAATTCAAATTTCTAAAGGCTTGGTCGTTGCACAAGGATTGTAGGAAGCTGGTTGAATCGGTCATATGTATACACTTTCTAGAAAGTTGTAGCTGCTGAAATATAAACTTAAGGAGTGGAATAAAAATGTCTTTGGGAATGTCACCTCTAATGTTAAGAGTGTTGAAGAGTTACTTCCTAATATTCAACATAAAATCCAGATTGAAGGTATGAATGACAATCTAAAGCAACAAGAAATAGATGCGCAAAAATCTCTTTTGTTTGCTCTCGATATGGAGGAGTGCTTTTGGAAGGAAAAATCCAGGACCATTTGGCATTTGGAGGTTGATCAGAATACGACTTTGTTCCACCAAATTTCTAAAATTAAATCCAAGCTTAAGCCTTTTTCCATGCTTAAGCATGATGATGCAGTGTTGACATTTTCTAAGGCCATTGCAGAATGCACTGTGAATTACTTCAAAAATTTGTTTTCTACTAACACTTTTGTTTTGTAGGATATGAGTATGGTCGATGATACTATTCCCCGGCTGGTTGACGATAATATGAATGTTGTTCTCACGCAATTATCGTCTTTGATAGAGATTTATACGGCTGTTTTTGCGCTTAATAAAGACAGTGCTCCGGGTCCCGATGGTTTCAGAGATACCTTTTTTAGTTATTTTGGGATATCGTTAAAGTGGAGTCTCAAATGTTGTCACCGATTTTTTATCAATGGTTGGATTCTTCTTGGTTACAATTCCAACTCTATTGTTTTAATTCCTAAGGTCATTGGTGTTGATGCTTTAAACTCGTTTCGTCTCATCGCCTTATCGAATTTCACGTTCAATTTGATATCTAAAATTATTGCAGACCGGCTGGCAACTTTAATGCCTTTCCTAGTTTCGCAGGAGCAGTGTGGTTTCATACAGGGTAGGCATATTCATGACTGTACCGGGCTTGCTTTGGAGGCATTTAATCTGTTGGATTCTAAAGCTTGGTGTGGAAATGTTGCTCTCAAGGTCGACATTAAGAAATCCTTCGACACTCATAATTGGAATTTCTTGATGAAAGTTCTTAAAAACTTTTGTTTTAATGATAAATTATGTTTGTGGATTAGCTCGATTCTCCACTCCGCCTTCATGTCTGTCAACGTTAACGGGGTGCTGCAAGGCTACTTCTCTTGTTCTCGCGGAGTTTGACAGGGTGATCCGCTTTCACCGCTTCTTTTCTGCCTCACAGAGGATGTCCTCAGTAAGAAACTGCTGCAATTAGTTTCCTCCAACAATCTCAACCTAATTTCTGGCACAAATCACATAAAGCTTCCTTCGCATATCTTGTACGCTGATGACATGTTCATTTTCTGTAAAGGCAAGCTTTCCAACATAAATACTCTCATAAATACTTTCCAAGAATATGCTGCAGTGTCGGGGCAGGAAGTTAATTTCATGAAATCTTTCATTTATGGAGGACCAATGACTATTTCCAGGCTGAATATTCTTGTTGATCTTACAAGTTTTCAAAAAGGCGCATTGCCCTTTGTGTACGTTGGCGTCCCGCTATTCATTGGCAAGCCTAAAAAGTTCACTTGCAGCCTATTGTGAACATAATCATTAGCAAATTGGTGTCGTGGAAAGGTTTGCTGCTTTCTTATGATGGATGGGTGGAGATGGTCAAATCCACCATTCTTGGGATGCTTCATCATAGTATGTCCATTTGTAATTGGCCTTTGTCGCTGCTTCGGGATCCTGAGAAGGCGGTTCGTAAATTTATATGGTGTGGCGACATTGTGAATAATAAGCTTGTTGCAGTGGCTTGGTCCAACACCTGCCAACCGAGTTCTGAAGGTGGGTTGGGTATTCGATCTTTAAGCAGGCTGAATGCCGGTTTCAATTTGAAACTTGCTTGGGACTTGCTTCACTCAACGATCAGCTGGGCTAGTCTTTTTCGTAGTCGAGTCATGTGTAAGAACAACTATATTAAACATTATGCGTTCTCTTCTATTTGGTCCAGTGCAAAACAAGAATTGGCTACTGTGTTGGAGAATTCTTCTTGGTGTATTGGCAATGGCAAGTCTGTTAGTTAATGGTACGACTCTTGGTGCGGTTCACCGCTGTTTTTGGACGAGGATGCTCTGATTTTGGTGGATGACCAAAAGGTTGATGAAATCATTGTTAATGGGCATTGGGAATG